GAGAGCCAGCATGTGACGTCCTCTGTGGCTTCCAGTTTGTGCGGCTCAATCAGGCCCTCCCCCATGGTGGACAGTGAGTTGGTGATCAGCTTGGCTGCTTTGGAGTCACCCTCAGCAGAGATGATGGCTGCCTTTTTCCACCACAAATCTGGCCCTCTCTGCTTCCTGCTGAGCCACCTCTTTGAATTCCACCACTTCTGTGAACTCCTTCCCGAAGGTCAGATACACCAATGACATATTGTCCAGGATGAGCCCAAAGGTGGCTGCTCAGTCCTTAAGGTCATTGCTCACCTGCCTGCAGACCAGCTCTCTCAGGTTAATTAGTTCTCTTTGGCTAATCAAAGTGAGCCACCACTAACTTGAGGATCTCTGTAGTGATGGATGACAGCACACAGTCATCATAGTCCTCTCTGATGCTGGTAAAGATGTGAGGAAGCTAGCTAGCAAAAGGCCAGAGGAGGAAGTGCAGTGTGATGTTGACATTCTGTAAATCTCTGCTATCTGTGATGACTCACATTACATGGTTGAGAATGGCAGTGAAAGATAATTGGTTTCTATACCCATGGGATGAGAAAGTGAGTTGTTCTCCTTACCACAATGTTCTGTACTCCATGGAACTGGCCATAGATGAAAGCTCTGTGTGCAGCATCCACATTATATAAGGCAGAGTTCACCACATCTCCTGCAACAGCTGAGGCTGGGCCAAACTTGCTGATGAACTCAAACACTTTGGTAGTCATGTTTCCTTCTGCTGGAGCTTCTCATATCTGCTCTGACCTTCACATCAATTCCCCAGCCATGGATGGGACTTTTTAATCCTTCCTTGAGCATGTGACTATAAAGTATATTGAGCAGGGCCATTTCGCTTTGCTTCTCAGTGTGTTCAGTGGCAAAGACTAGTTACAGGTAACCTTAGTTTTGTAGCTTTCTCAAATGTCAGTTATAGTAGCCGTGTACCAGGTTAGTGAGCAGGCTTATGGTGTCCTAAGAAGCTGGAGGGGTGGAGGCTACAGAAGCTTCTGTCATTCCCAGCTGCCGTGCAGTTGTGACAGCAGATTTTTTATTTGGTTGTGCTGCTTGACCTCCAGGCCAGTAGGTGGCAGGTAAGAGATGACTATGGTGGTACAATTGGGTTTATCTTCATCTTTGTTTACCAGGAGCAGTTTTCCAGTGTCCCAGGCATTGGGCTAGGCTGTGGAATGCTCAGTGGTTTGGGTTCTATGCTCAGCGTCAGTGGGAATTGTGGGAGTAAAGCTGGGTCAGCTGGACTGGGCTAGCCTGCATTCAGGTTTCCTAATGGTGGGTGCAAGTACTTGCTCTGATGGGCCCAGGGGCAGTTGCCAAATGGCTGGAGACATTCTCAGGTTAAGGAGTGAAAAACAGCCACTGCATGAAGTCCCTTGCATGGGAAAGGAGGGGTAGCACAAGCCCCTAGACTAGGTAAGTGGGTGTGGTACTCACTTATCTCTCACTCCTCAGAGCCAGCTGTGCTCACTTCCTTGTTTGTACCAAGAGAGCAAGGTTGGTCACTCAGTAAACTTGTACACAGATTGGCTTTAGATTGCAAAGCTAAATTTGCAGACCGCAAATTTCACCATTTGTGCAAAACCAGAGCTCTCTGGAAAATTTCCTCCTCCTCTGATTCCATGAAGAGACAGAGCCCAATTCCAGTGTTCATAATTGCAGCACACTCTAAACTTGCTCCTCAGTTCGGGCTATGGGAGCTCCTCCCCCACTCCAGACCCAGGACTCCAATCTCCAGCCCAAGACTCTCTAATGCCCATGGCAGGCACTGCTGCTATACCTATCCCACCCAGTTTGGGATGAGCAAGGTTGGAGAATGGTATCTGTCTGAGATCTGAGAAAATGCCTAGGGTACTTCTTAGTTTCTTTCCTTCTCAAAGTATCCAAGCCTTTCCCCCGGTTAGCTCCAGGGCTTGGGAGGAACAAGGTACTTTACTGTGCCTTGAATGGCACAGTTTCCCAATGGAAAGGTGGAATGTAGAGCGATATGCTTTGAGTCTGTGTCCCCACCAAGTCTCATGTTAAATTCTAGTCAATAGTGTTGGAGGTGGGGCCCGGTGGGAGATGGCTGGATCATGGGAGTGTATTTCTTATGAATGATTTACCATCATCCTTTCAGCACTGTTCTTGTGCTAGTGAGTGAGTCTCCTAACATCTGGTTGTTTAAAAGTGTGCGGCATCTCCCCTCTTACTCTGTCCTGCTACTGCTTCTGCCACTTGAGATCCTTTGCTCCCCCTTTGACCTCTGTCATGATTGGAAGATTCCTGAGGCCTCCCCTGAAGCCGAACCTGCTAGGCTTCTTGTATAGTCTGCAGAACTGTGAACAAATTAAGACCCTTTTCTTTATAAATTACCCAGTCCCAGGTCTTTTTTTCACAGCAGTGAAAGAACAGACTGACTCCTAGAAGGACACTGTCTTCCCCTTCTCATGTGCTGGGTCTTCACTCACATTTCTCAGCCAGATGCTGCTGTGCAGGTTGCCGCTTACCTTCTCTTTCCTGAGAGCTGAAGTGTCCTTTGCTTTTCTGTTGAATTCTCATGTTCCTTCTTGAATGAAAGATCACAGTGTGAATCTCTACACACTGTTTTGCTTCTTCCAGATAGGCGAGGCATGCTAGAAAAGCCTCTAATCTTCCATCATGGGAGAGGAAAGCAGAATGGTTTTGTAGATGTTTATTTTACTTCGCTTTTATAGAACTTCTAGGATTTCTGGGTTTGTAGTCATCAAATTTAGAAATATTTTAGCCACATTTTTTTCAAATATTTTTTGTCCCCCACTTCAATTCTCATCTTTTGTTCTGGACTCCAATTACATGTATTTTATTCGGCTTGATACTGTCCCACTAAGGCTTTTTAAAACTTATCTTGCCTGTGCTATTTATGTTAAGCAGTCTCTGAATTAAGTGTTTGTTGCTGCTCAACAAGTTATTCTAAAACTTAATAGTTTAAAGCAACGATGAACATGTATCAATGATTTCTGTGGATCACGAATCTGGGCATGACTTCGCTAACGGTTCTGGCTTGGAGCATCCCTCATCGAGGTGTAGTCAATATATCGTCTTGAGACTGCAGTCATTCCAAGACGGCTCATTCAGATTGTCGATTAGTTGGTTCTGATTGTTGGGAGGAGGTCTCTGTCCTTTGCCGTTTGGACTGCTGCATAGTTGCTGTCATTAGAGTGTTTTTGCGACTTGATGGCTAACTTCTCTCACAGCACGTGGTCCAGGTGAGCAGACGAAAGTGGAGATGTCTTTTATGACAGCCTTAGGAATCACATAACTTCAATTCCGCTCCAGTCTGAAGATCACACAGACATGTCAAATCCTGGTATTACACAATGATACAAGTACCAGGAATTGCGGGTCATTGGTACCATCTAGGAGGTTGGCTACCACAGTTTAGATTGTTATGTCTTTATGTGTACTGATATTTTCTTTTTTTTTTTTATTGCATTTTAGGTTTTGGGGTACATGTGCAGAGCATGCAATACAGTTGCATAGGTACACACATTGCAGTGTGTTTTGTTTGCTTTCTCCCCTTCACCCACATTTGGCATTTCTCCCCTGGCAATCCCTCCCCACCTCCCCCTCCCACTGGCCCTCCCCTTTCCCCCCTATAGACCCCAGTGTTTAGTACTCCCCTCTCTGTGTCCATGTGTTCTCATTTTTCATCACCCGCCTATGAGTGAGAATATGTGGTGTTTCATTTTCTGTTCTTGTGTCAGTTTGCTGAGAATGATGTTCTCCAGATTCATCCATGTCCCTACAAACGACACGAACTCAACATTTCTGATTGCTGCATAATATTCCATGGTGTATATGTGCCACATTTTCCCAATCCAGTCTATCATCGATGGGCATTTGGGTTGATTCCAGGTCTTTGCTATTGTAAACAGTGCTGCAATGAACATTCGTGTGCATGTGTCCTTATAGTAGAACGATTTATAGACCTTTGGATATATGCCCAGTAATGGGATTGCTGGGTCAAATGGGATTTCTATTTCTAAGGCCTTGAGGAATCGCCACACCGTCTTCCACAATGGTTGAACTAATTTACACTCCCACCAACAGTGTAAAAGTGTTCCTTTTTCTCCACAGCCTCTCCAGCATCTGTTGTCTCCAGATTTTTTAATGATCGCCATTCTAACTGGCGTGAGATGGTATCTCAATGTGGTTTTGATTTGCATCTCTCTGATGACCAGTGACGATGAGCATTTTTTCATATGATTGTTGGCCTCATCTATGTCTTCTTTTGTAAAGTGTCTGTTCATATCCTTTGACCACTTTTGAATGGGCTTGTTTGTTTTTTTCCTGTAAATCTGTTTGAGTTCTTTGTAAAGTCTGGATATCAGCCCTTTGTCAGATGGGTAAACTGCAAAAATTTTTTCCCATTCTGTTGGTTGCCGATTCACACTAGAGACTGTTTCTTTTGCTGTGCAGAAGCTGTGGAGTTTGATTAGGTCCCATTTGTCTATTTTGGCTTTTGTTGCCAATGCTTTTGGTGTTTTGTTCATGAAGCCCTTGCCTACTCCTATGTCCTGGATGGTTTTGCCTAGATTTCCTTCTAGGGTTTTTATGGTGCCGGGTCTTATGTTTAAGTCTTTAATCCATCTGGAGTTAATTTTGGTGTAAGGTGTCAGGAAGGGGTCCAGTTTCTGCTTTCTACACATGGCTAGCCAGTTTTCCCAGCACCATTTGTTAAACAGGGAATCCTTTCCCCATTGCTTGTTTTTGTCAGGTTTATTCTTCTGAACTACCCACTCTGTTTTTCAGTTCAATTCAGTGACTTCTTTTTTTCATTTTGGATGCTGTATTTTTCATCTCTAGAAGATCCATTTGGGTCTTTTATGATACCATTTACTTCTCTTTTTCTCATGTTCATGTTTTCATTTAGATTCTTTGGCCTAATAAAAATGTTTGTAAAAGTTCTTTTAAGACTCTTATCTGTGAATTTCATTATTTCTGACATTTTGAGCCTGTTTTTATTTATTGATTTTCCTTCTAGTATGGGTCTTATGTTTCTTCTTCTTTACACACCTAGTAATTTTTTATTGGCTGCTAGACATTGTTAATTTGTTAATTTTACATTTTAATAAGTGAGTTATATTTTGTTGTTATTGTTTTTTTTAAGGAATACTGCACTTTGTTCTGGGAGAGATTTACGTTACTTCATTCACTCAGTCCCTTTGAAAGTTGCTTTTTATCTTTGTTCAGGAAAGTTCAGAGCAGCCTTAACTCTAGAGTTAATTTATCCTCACTTTCAAAGCATAACTTCTCTGAAGACTCTACCTAATTATGTATTATAACACCTCTCAACTCTGGCTTATGGAAGCACAAACTATTTTGAGACATAAATAAGCTCTAGGAATATTCAGCCTCCTGATTCTCAGTAACTTTTCCTGGCTTCATAGTTTAAAATCCCATCATATACAAATTGGTCATCAGTCAAAGACTCAATAAAAAAACCCTTTCAGATCTCCAGATTTTCTTTCTAGGCAGCTCCCTCCTCTTCATTACTCTGTACTAAAACTCCTAGGCATTTCAGCCTCTCTGAACTTCTGTATGTGTCTTAACAGTTCCTCAAGACTCTCATCTCTGTTTTGTTCCCCTTCTCTGTGCTGTAGCCTAGAAACTGCCTTCAGGTTTCCAGGACAATCACAGGGCTTAGCCTATTTGTTTCCTTTCCTTCACTCAGTATCTGCCTTGTGCTGCCTATCATCCAAAGTCTATGAATAATTATTTTATTCATTTTGCCCTGTTTTCTAATTGTTTTTAGTAGAAGGAAAATTCTTATAGCAGTTAATCCTGGATGGATGAAAGCAGAAATGATATGTGGGGCTTTGGGGCGAAGTTGAATAGTCTGGGCACTGAACAATTAGAACAATAGTTAATAGTGCTGGAGTAGAGACTGGGAGGCCTCCCCTCGTGCCAGGCAGGGAAGAGCTTTTCTCTACTCTTGACTTTGTTGAAATCAAAATGTGTTTATTTAAACACATTTTGGTCCTCTCTATTCCTTTACTTACTTTACCTATGGAAAGATTCCCCAAACCTGGTTCATATTTTGGGCTAGAATAGCTGGTTTAGTGCTGTTCTCCTGCTTTCTTTTGGGAGCAAGCCCAGAGGGTGATATGCTGGTATAAGAAGGGGGCACATAACTCAGTCCCTGGGATTCAGGGTGCTCACTGAATCTGAAGTGCCTGGAACATCTAACTGGAGATGTCTTGTAGGGAGTTGTATACAAGGGTCTGGAGCTCCAGGAGAGGTCTGGACTGCTACTTTATAGCTGTGTGAACAAGATTACTGGTAAGAAGGAATTTCTTGAGGGCAGCGTCTGAAATGAGGTCGAGATCCCATAAAGATCTGCTGAACAAATGAGTTAATGAGTTCCTGAATAGCCATTGTTCCCAATAGAAGATAATTCTGAACACTAGGAAAACTCATACATACGTAGTGAGAGAAGTTAACTACATTATGAATTTATTATTCTGTCACTATCACTGATTAATTTGCTAATTAAATTTTAAATTGATTTTTCCATATAATAATACTGGGAATGTCTTTAGAAATAAAAGTTGTGCTGAAAAAAAACCAGAAAAGCTTAAAAATTTGGGGTGAGATTAACAGCAAATTATTCATTAGTTGCTAAGAAGTGGTTACACCTGTTATTGTGAGTACAGCTAATACTGCTCACGTTATTCAGTCAGAGAAATAGTATCTAATTACCAAGAGGTTATATCAAGTAACAGAAGTAGAATGAAAGAAGTTACACGAAGGGACAGAGGAACTAGTTTTGACATACAGGCAAGGAAAATTGGATACTACTGTGACTTTATAACATTACAAATTTTATTAGAGAAGATGTTAGCAAATTCTATTAACATTTATAGATGACCTTAATTTCAAAAATGTTTTGAGATAGAAAGGAACATGCATTCATTCATGTAATTCTGGTATATAAGGGGCTTTGATCTGTTACTAAAAGAGAGAAGCAAACTGACATAATTTTTATACATATTAAATCAATTTTTGTCTTCTCACTTGAGAGCTTTAAAATAATAAAATGATCAATATGCACATTAGGGTGAACTCTATTTGCTACCAATTATCTGTATTGTTTAAGAAAAAACCATTGAAAGGAATTAAGTAAACAAACAGGTTGTGTTTCATATTGCAAATCATTTTAATGTGACTCTTACTGATAACTCAGACATACGATGGTTAAACTGATTTTTTAAAAAAGTGTCTATATTGCCCAGAATTTTAGAATTTTATGGATATAGAGAATAGTAGGAGCTAGAGATGTACCCAATCTTTGGGGTAGGGGATAATGTCAGTAAATCTGATTCATATTTTAATGCCACTTCTCTGTTTAGCTAATTAGAATATGAGTGTTTTTTCCTTTGAAAATGAGTTAAAATTTTAATGCAGCAAAAACAATGTGAAGAAACTTGGATTTTACCCTGACTTTGCCTGAAACTATCTGTAGAACATCAGAGCATTCAATAACCTCTCCACGGATCAAAAATGTTTCTGTTTATTTATGTAATCAATATTTACTGAGTACCTAATACATGGCATAGGCTGGTTTGGATTCTGAGGATATGGTGATGAGCAAGACAGATAAAGCTTCTATTCAAATTGCTTACAGTCTAGTTGGAAAGGGAGAGACAAAATAAGTACATAAACAAATAATATAATATCAGAAAATGCTAAGTGCAATGAAGAAACTATGAGATAACAGGATAAGAAGTGGCAGTGGCAGTAGGCTGCATTAGACTTGGTGGTCAAGGAAGGGTTTTCTAAGAAGGTAATTTTTAAGCTGAGATGATAAGGAGAAAGCCATTCAAAGACTTGTTAAAGGTCGCTCCATAGTGAACAAATAGCAAATGCAAAAGCACTATTCCAAGAACAAGTTTGGAATGTTCAAAGACACACAATAAATAAAAGGTAGAGGAAGGCGGGTATGACGTGAAGTTTGCAAAGTAAACACAGATCGTTTCCACCTATCATATTTTTTATCAGCTTTGTTGAGATATAATTGACTTGCAACAAATTGCATATACTAGTTTCCTAAGAGTGCCATAACAAAGAACCATAAACTGAGTGGTTTGAAACAACAGAGATTTTATTTTCCTACAGCTCTAGAGGCCAGAAGTCCAAGATCAAATTGTCTGCAGGGCCATGCTCCCTCTGAAGCTGCTGGTCTAGAATGTGTTCCAGGCCTCTGCTGGAGCCTCTGGTAGTCCTTGGTTTGAGGCAACCCAATTGCAGTCTTCACCTGGCATTATCCTTGTTCATGTGTCTGTGTCCAAATTTCCTCTTTTTTGTAAGGAGATATATCCGATCACATTGGCCAGTGGTTTACTTTACTTCAGTATTATATTAATTAATTTCATTTATAATGAACTTATTTCCAAATAAGGTCACATTCTGACATACTACAGGTGAGAACTTCAACATTTGAATTTTGGGGGTACACAATTCAACCCCTAACCTTGCATAAATTTTGATGGGTTTTAACATATGCATATCCTATAAAACCATCATCACATTCATGATAATGAACATCTTTTTCACCCCCTAAATAATTCCTCCGCCCCTTGGAAATCCCCCTCTCCTTCCCCTCCTTGCCTTTCGTCATCCCCAATCATTAATCTGCTTTCTGTCTTACATTAATTTGTATTTTCTGGCACTTTATATAAACAGAATTATGGGGCAAGTACTCTGTTTTGGTCCATCTTAACAATACTAAGATTATAACATAATTATTGATATTCGTGTTACTGCTGTGTCAGTAGTTTATTTCTATTTATTGCTGACAAATATTCTATTGCATCTATATGACATATTTGTTTATCACCTGTGGATGGACATTCAGGTTGTTTCCAGTCTGGGGCTATTAAAAATAAAGGTGCCATGAATGTTTGTGTACAAGTCCATGTATGGACCTATCCTATTATTTCTCTTACATACCTAGGAGTGGAGTGGCTGGATCATGTGGTAGGTGTATGTTTAACTTTTGGAGAGACTTCCATACTGATGAACTTGTATCGTTTTATATTTCCATAGGCATTGTATGTGAATTTCAGTTGCTCCAATTCCTTGCTAACCCTTGGTGTTTCCAATTTTAAAATGTTAGGCAGCCTAAGAAGTGTGTAGTGCTATGTTATTGAGGTCTTAATTTGCTTATCTCTGAGACTAATGATGAAGATTTTTCATCTGTTTACTTTCCGTCTATATACTTTGGTGAAATGTCTATTCAAAACTTTGTTTATTTAAAAAATGGGAAAATTTTTTTCTTATAATTGAGTATAGCAAGTTCTTCATATATTTTGTATACAAGTTCTTTATCTTATGTATAATTTGCAAGTTAGTTTTCTTTCATTTTGCTAAGATGTCTCTGTTATTTTGACAATGCCTTTTGAAGAGAGAAGTTCTTAATTCTGATGGAGTCCAATTTATCATTTTTAAAAATGCTGTTGGTGTTACAGCTAATAAAGTTTTGCCTGATTCAAGTTTTGCCTAACAAAAGTTTTATTCTGTGCTTTTCCTCTGGAAGTTTTTAAATTTTAGTTTTTACATTTCATGTTAACGTTTGTATATAATGCAAGATATGGATTGAAGTTTTTTATTTAATTTAAAAAATTATTTATTTTTACATATGGATAACAAATTGTTCCAGCACCATTTGTTGAAAATACTATTCATTCTCTACTTTATTTCATTTTCACCTTTCTTGAAAATCATTTGATCACATGTATACAGGTTTATTACTGGACCATATTCTGTTCCAATGACCTGTCTTAACACCACTTTCTTAATTGCCATAGTTTTGCAATCTTGAAATCAGCTAGTGCAACTTCCTCTAACTTACACTTATTTTCTCAAGTTTATTTTGGCTGTTCTATGTCTTTTGCATATGAATATAAATTTTGGAATCAGCTTGTCAGTCATTACAAAAAAGCCTGCTGGAATTTTCATTGGGACTATGTTGAATCTATAGATAAATGGGGAGAATTGAAATCTGAACATTATTGAGTATTTTGATTTTTGAACATGATACATCTCTCCATTTATTTAAGTATTCTTTAATTTTTCTCAGCAATATTTTGTAGTTTTTAGTGCATGGTTCTTACACATCTTTTGCCAGGTATATCCTTAGGTATTTCATATTTATTAATGCTACTGTAAATAGCAATGGTGCAAAAGTAATTGCATTTCTACCATTGAAAGTAATGCCATTGAAAGTTTCAGTGTCATCGAAAGTTTTCACCATTAATTTCTTTTTTTTTTTGAGACGGAGTTTCGCTCCTGTTACCCAGTCTGGAGTGCAATGGCGCGATCTCGGCTCACAGCAACCTCTGCCTCCTGGGTTCAGGCAATTCTCCTGCCTCAGCCTCCTGAGTAGCTGGGATTACAGGCACGCACCACCATGCTCAGCTATTTTTTTGTATTTTTAGTAGAGACGGGGTTTCACCATGTTGACCAGGATGGTCTTGATCTCTTGACCTGGTGATCCACCCACCTCAGCCTCCCAAAGTGCTGGGATTACAGGCTTGAACCACCATGCCCGGCCTCACCATTAATTTCAATGGCAAAAATGCAATTATGTTTGCACCAACCTAATAGTATTATTTTTTTGTTTCAATATCTGATAAATATTTTTGATGTCTATATGTAGAAATACAATTAATTTTTATATATTAATCTTGTATCTTGCAACTTTACTAAACTCATTTATTAGTTTATTAGTTCTCATAGATTTCTATAGATTCAATAAGATTTTCCACATAGATGATCATGTTGTATGTGAATAAAATCTTACTCCTTCTTTTCCCATCTGAATGGCTTTTTTCCCTTACCTTATTGTATTAACATTGCACCTAAGTAGTGTTGAGTAGAAGCTGTGAAAGCAAACATTGTTGCCTTTTTCCTGATCTTAAAGGAAATTTATTCTGTCTTTCAATAGTAAGTATATTAATCATAATTTTTTTTGTTGATGCCTTTTATTAAGTTAGGAAGTTTTCTTCTATTCCAAGTTTGCTGAGAAGTTTTTCAGGAATGTATGTTGGATTTTGTTAAATGCTTTTGTGAGGTTGTATATATGTGTGTGTGTGTTTCCATTGAGATCATCACAAGGCTTTTATTTTCAGTCTGCTAGTATGGTGAATTTTCTTGATTGAATGCAAAGTACCCTTGCATTCTTTTTTTTTTTTTTAATCATAGAAAGTTGTATTGGCCATCCATAGAGTTCTCTGCAACAAAAATAAAGTATATATTTTGAAATTTAATTAATTAATTAATTAATTTTAATTTTTCTTTAGAAAGGAAGGAAGAAAAGAAAGAAAAAAAAAGTGAGGGAGAGGAAGAAAGAGGAAGAAAAAGAGGGAGAGAGAATGGGAATATTGCTTTAGTCTAAAAATGGGTATTAATAATGGCCGATCAATATTTTGTGTATTTAAAATGGAGAGCTCTATAAAGATTTATTAAGTTTACTTGTTCCGGATCTGAGTTCAAGTCCTGGATATCCTTATTAATTTTCTGTCTCATTGAGTCTAAATCTCTTTATGGGTCTTATGTATCTGGGTGTTAGGATCGTTAGCTCTTATTGTTGCATTGATCATTTTGCCAGTATCTCTTTGTTGCTTTGAAATCTATTTTATCAGATGCGAGAATTGCAACTCCTGCTTTTTATTTATTTATTTATTTTTGCTCTCTATTTGGTTGCATTCTTGAAATAAATTCCACTTTGACCATGATGTATTATCCTTTTTATATATTGTTTATTTTGTTTTGTAAAATTTTGTGAAGAGTTTTGCATCTATGTTCATTTCATGAGGGCTAGGAGTTTGTGGTTTTCTTTTTTGATAATGTCATTCATGTGAACTCTAGCTGCCTTGAGATCCATGGACTCCCAGGTCTATCTCCTTAATTTGGTGATGCTTCTGGCCTCTACCTGGGTAAACTTTATTGTACTATGGGCTAGAAGCTTCTCCAGGCAATTTCTCCCTGTTTGTTTCCCACGTCTTTTGGATCACGTACTTTTGTTACCTGAGGTCCAATGTGTATAGAGACATTATTTTATACATTTTATACTGTTTTATAATTATTTTAGGTGAGAAAGTAAGTCTGGATCAGAAGCACAATTTAAACATGCCTGAATTTTTTTTAACAGTATGAGATCATATACATTAAGGCTTTTTTAGCAAGAAAATCATTACCCAAATGCATGATGTTTATTATAATTCTAGTAACAGGCCAAGTGTCTATCAGTTGGCCGTTACATATGTACACACACACACACATACATAAACACACACACACGTATCTCCCAGGGATATGTATATATATTCACTATAAAATGAGTTCCTGAATCAATGCTTTATACAAAGGAGGCACTAATTCCATTAGAAACACACATCTAACATTCTTCCACGTATCATACTCTTGTATTAGCATCCTGTCTGAAATTAGGTTGGCACCCTCATTTCCAGTTTCCCTGTTTTCAAAATTATCTGATTACACAGTTCACATTCCCAAGACTTTGGAGCCCCTGGAATGGCCATTTCTAGGTATATATCTGTTAAACTAAATATGACCTGGGGATTCCTCTAGGTTTTGCCTACATAAAGAACTGCAACCTAACTTAGTATGTAAACAAACTGACATCCTAACTTAGCAGTATACTTTTGTAACAAACTGCTCAGTTTCAGCTCATCACAGCAGCTGAGCTTCAGGGAATTACAGGCAGCCCGCTGATCAGACCTTGTCCAAGTAAGGCAAGTGCTGAGCTGCAGAGGAATCAAGCTCTTTCTGTACCTCATTTCTACTTTCTGTCCATAAATGCTGCCTTCCCATATTGAGGAGCAGAGTTCTGTGAATCTGCTGATTCTAAGGGCTGCCTGACTTGACAATCGTCCTTTGCTTAATTAAACTGACAGAAACAAGCAATGGGAAAGGATTCCCTATTCAATAAATGGTGCTGAGATAACTGGCTAGCCATATGCAGAAGATTGAAACTGGGTCCCTTCCCTACACTTATAGAAAAATCAACTCAAGATGGATTAAAGACTAAAATGTAAAGTCTAAAAGTATAAAAATTCCTGGAGGATAACCTTGGAAATATCATTCTGGATATAGGATCAGGCAAAGATTTTCATGACAAAGACGACAAAAGCAATTGCAGCAGAAACAAAAATTGACAAACGGGACCCTTAACTAAAGAGCTTCTGCATTATGGCCCAGAAACTTTCTCCAGGCAGTTTCTCCCTGTTTGTTGCCCATCTCTCTAGGATCATGTACTTTTGTTACCTGATGTAACAGCAATATAAACTATCAACAGAATAAACACACGATCTATAGAATGGGAGAAAATATTTGCAAACTGTGCATTTGACAAAGGTCTAATATGGAGAATCTATATAGAACTTAAACAAATGTATAAGCAAAAACCAAAGAACCCTGTTAAAAAGTGGGCAAAAGACATGAACAGGCGCTTTTTCAAAAGAAGATATATATGTGGCCAACAAGCATATGAAAAAATGCTCAACACCATGAATCATTAGAGAAGTGATACTACCTTTTAATAGAAACTGCAGTAAAGAGAAGTCAAGCATGCCAATGTCATATAGCAAGTAAATGGCAGGGCCAAAATTTTATCCCAGTCAGCTTGACATCCTGTCAGATGTGGTCATGTTCCTCAGATAGTCATTCTTTCAATGTGTAAATTTTACTTAATATAAAAATCGAAATAAAAAACAATAAAATATTTTGAACTAAACATTTTGTTCTGAATGGCAACAGAGGCCATTTGCTCTGGATTTAAATATAAAAGTTGGCTTTGATTTTTGGATGAGGAGTAGTTGTATATATCTTTACATGAACACTTAGGTAAAACTTGGAGCACTTGAGCCCCAGATAAATTTTTATTCCCAAGACTTACTTAGATGATGAATGTTTTTTGAATTTGGCATTTCCCATTCTGTATTTATCTTTTATTAATATTAATAAGGAATATAGTTAAAAGGGTAATTTTATTTTGAAACAGGAGAAAGGAAAATGCATGCTTCAATAATGTCAGAGTTTACAGGGAAAGATATTGTGAGCTTGTTTGTCTAAATAAATTTTATTTGGAGTTCAGTATGAATTTTCAATAGATGTTTTTCAGATAAGAAAGCAGTGAGTCAAATACAATTAGATAAACAAGAAGATCAGAGGGGATTATCCTGAAGGGTATAAAATGAACCAAGAGCTTTTAGTTTGGGTCATCACAGCATCTGCTCACCAATGCAAAGTAAGGTAGGTGTCTATAGTGGAAAGGCTCTGTGAAATGAAATGTTCTTTAGTGTTTTTTTTTCATTTTCATAATTTTATCATTTATTAGAAAGTGGCAAATGCTGAAAGATAATTTGCTTCAATAGGCTCTAACATTTTAAATTATTGCTCCAAATTGTTTAGTAGTAGGTGAAGGTAAGTGAACTACATACATAAGGATAAGAAAAAAATTTATTGACTTAGAGAAACAATTGGTTAGTTCCCTAAGGAAGGATATATGATATGCATAGCTTTCTTCTGTTTTCATTTTGATTTAAATATTGTTATCAATTTAATGATATGTGTATTAAATCCTTTCAATTACTGTATTAATGGTCATCTTTTATGAAAACACACTTCTGGGAAATGTTAGAGCAAATTCCTTTTTGAGTACCTGCAGGGGTAATGTGCTCTGTATTACGAGCTCTTTTTAGTTCTTTTTAGCTAAACCTCCTTTGATAGTGTCCAACACACACACCTGCTGTATAGTACATTTTGCTTTCTAGAAAAATACACGGCTTTAGTGAAGTTCCAGGATTGTTCATAGATGGGCAATTAGTTCTTTTCATAATAAGGGATTTAGGGAGTAAAAACTAATGAAGGAAATTAGCAGAGCAGAGAGGAAAGTGTTTATTAAGAATGAGGCATTGGAAGCAAAAATAAGAGAAAAAAAAGAGGGGAAAATAGTAAAAAAAAACATTTATTGGAATAAGAAAATATGTTGAAAGTAGGAACATACATGCTTATGCATCTGAAGAAGGCATCTCATTATTTAGGCCCTGCCTGAAGCCATGCCTTCTATGTTTAGGTAGCCAATAAATTATTATGATGATGTCAGAATAGGCAATTAAGTTGCAAAGATGAGAACCCAGATGACAATAAGGAAGAAATGGTGGAAGATCACACAGGAAAGGATTAACTAGTGCTCATTCGTACAGTGTTGCATAGTTATATGATCTTATTGTCGCATAGTTATATGATCTTATTGTCGCATAGTTATATGATCTTATTGTCGTATAGTTATATGATCTTATACAGAGCACCAGGCGTTTCACATGTGTTGTTCTTTTCATGACTTTAGCAAGGGACACAGGAAAAAATGAAGGCACAGATATTAAATTGCTCAGTTGCACACAACCGCAACTAAATCCTGAAGTAGAATGTAGATCACTAACTCTTACCAATCTTAGCGCCAGAGATCTGACACTAATTTATCCTACAGAATTATAGACTCTTGGGGCTGCAAAGACTTTCACCATCATCTTTGGGTTCTAAGCCTTCCTTGTATAGATAAGAAACTTGAGGTCCAGAAAGAGTCTGTGGGTGAAGTTTTACTATTTGCAATAAAGAAGTAAAGGAGAAAGAACAGTTCTTCCTTTCTTTACGCCCACAAAGTTGTACAGCTACTGCGGCTGGTAATTTAGCACTTTCGTTTTCTACTTTTGTTAGTTTAGAGTTCTACATTTATAGGAGAAACTTCAAAAAATATAGAGTATGACAACAGGAAAACCCAAAACAATTTTCATCCTACATTTTTAAAAGCGTCAGGTGTACTTGTCACTTTCTGTTTTGCAGATGGGGAAATAAGACCTAAATAGATTATATATTTTAGTCACATTCTCCTAGATTCATAAAAGAACTCTGTTTCTTAATTTTTAGACCAATTTTTTCATCACCAGGTCACCGTATCTATTTTATATAGAATTAGAGAGCTAAAAGTTAAAATATGTGAAGTTAATTGTTTCCTATGGAAAAAACTCAGTAGCTGGCTGTCTAAACAAGCAAGAACTATAATGATCATGATGGGTAAGTATTTTACATAATTTGCTAGTTAGTAATTTTAAGATCCTACAGAGGATCCTCAGGGTCTGTGTCTAAAATACTGGAACCAACTCTGTACCATAGAGGGAGCTCACGTTTGAGAAGCACTTGAGAAAGCCAGACTCCATGAGTAAGGAATTTGTATGCTTTTGCTCCTTAACTGAAATACCAAAAAACAGAAAACAAAACAAAACAAAATCAAAAACAAACAAACAAAAGCAAAAAACCCTTGAAGGAACATTTGAATACGCAACATTTCATTTAATAGAATTTGTGAGAAAAACCCCTTATTTTAATCTTGAAAAGTTAAGTCATCCTAAGATGGGTTAGTTCACTTTCTTGTGTAATAAGAAGTAAGTAAACATAAATCTTTGATAATCATGGGTCTTAAAGTCATAACTGGGACTCTTTCAGAGCACTAGAACAATCAATTAGCCCCTCCACTGGACAGTCATTCCTTTAGGTAAAGGACCATATCTTACCCGTCTGTGTCTGTCAGTGCCTGCTTCAGCTGCTCAGTATATGTTTATCTAATTTATTTGCAATTCTTATTCTAGGAATAGAAGGTTGGTTGAAATGACCACTAATATCTGGAATTTGACATTTAAAATAAATCCCTGGTAACCTGTGTAATGTGGTTTTCATGGTTTCTTATAAGTTGACTGAAAAAAAAAATTCTGGTTAACCAAGGCTGAACCTAGGAGGCTTCAGTTAACAGAGGTTTTAATGTATACAGTTTAAAGATGCTGTTAGGATATAACTGACAGATTTGGGGAAATCTTGGTACTTCTGATGATTGAACAAAATGTTTGATAAATTATAATTTATTTAATAGAACAAGCAAACAAGTTTATGTTCATAGACAACAATACTGCTCTGTTAGGGTATATATTTTCTTTACTGAAAATGATACTGGAGAAGGAAAAAAAAATCCAAACACATCTAGCAAGCTGTAAAATATCTGTAAGCCGAAAAAAATCTTAATCTTTGAGGTGATCAACTTACATCTCAACGTATGAAATTTGATTACCCTTACTCAGTAGTAGAACTAAAATAATTTGTCATGACATTATCCAGGGGTAATGATGTTGATATTGATATCATTATCCCTCTGATAACTATATTCAATCAATACATATTGATAATGATATCCAGTTGATATTGAACAAGTCTCCCTCACGCAAGCTCTATTGAGATTCACGTTCTGTTTCTCCCTGAGGCACTATGAAACCTTTGTTTCCTTTCATGCATCTAAAAATTATTTAACATTCCTGGCTAACCCATAATGGAGCTGTCATCCTTGATTGTATTCTTCTCATTGTGTCAACCTTTTTTTTTTCACCTGTTAATCTTTTTGAGAACAAATTACATGCCTCTTTCATGTAAAATAATCTTTTATTTGTTCCAACTGTACATATTTCAACCTTAAAGGGATATCCTAAGGGTTCAGAAGTAAAATCAGGGTTTCCTCGATTTCTCAGTTAGCCCCTTAACACCAGTGGTAATTTTAGTTGACCTTGTTTGGACCTTATCTTTCTGGTGACTTCCTTGATCAAATGGGTAGAATTATAAGCACGATTATATGCACTGGGATGGTATTGAAGTTTGGCTATACTTTATCTTGGTTTCTTTGCTCTTTCTGATTTTAACCAGTAGGTTGTTTAATTTTATCTGTGATTTAGCATGGCTGCTGTCTTTCTGATGTCCATGCTTCTTGGCCTTGCATGTGGGCAAGCGATGTCTTTCTGTGTTCCAACTGAGTATACAATGCACGTAGAAAGGGGAGAGTGTGCTTATTGCCTCGCCATCAACACCACCATCTGTGCTGGATATTGTATGACACGGGTATGTAGTACACGTCACTTCTTTTGGCTGCAAATTATAGAAGCCTTGAAGTCCTTTCTTACGTAGAAAGGAAATGAAATTTCCCTCATTTCCCAAACCTAATGGTTATTGGCTCCTTAGAAGCAGAGTACACAGATTTTAGAATATTATGTGGATCTACTCAGCACAATGGGTACAGATAATTTCGTAACAGTTTTATGTCCCAGATCTACTTAAACCTTATCTTGTTCCCATGATCAAGGATAAAAGAGAAGAGCGTGTCTCTTTTGTCTCTGTAGGATTCAGCATGGTTAAGCTAGGATTGGAGAATGGGGCTAAGGAATTCTTTCCCAGTTGTGTTTGTGAGGAAGGAATATAAGTGAATTTAGTTTATGTTTCCTATTATCTGTATGTTTCCTAAAGTCCTGTCACATTATGGTCTTTTTTTTGTTCTTTCTTCAGGATATCAACGGCAAACTGTTTCTTCCCAAATACGCTCTGTCCCAGGATGTCTGCACATACAGAGACTTCATCTACAGGACTGTAGAAATACCAGGATGCCCACTTCATGTTGCTCCCTATTTTTCTTATCCTGTTGCTTTAAGCTGTGAGTGCGGCAAGTGCAATACTGACTATAGTGACTGTGTACATGAGGCCATGAAGACAAACTACTGTACCAAACCTCAGAAGTCTTACCTGGTGGGATTTTCTGTCTAACTTTAATAGTGATACAATTTGCAATTTGGTTAAATGTGCTTGCCTGAAATAAAGCTAATAAAAATACTATGTTTCACAATACCTTGTATTCATTTTGAGCACTATTTAATCCATACCCGTACCTAACCGTCATTCGTGAGCTTAAGGGGTTTTAGAAGAAAAGGTGAATGATGGGCCTCCTAAGCTCAAAGGATAGTTTTCACGTGAACGAGCGGAGTGGAGGTAAAATGGAAAACAGGGATATGAAATGCCAAAAAGCTCGCCTCGAGCAGGCTCTCCTAACAGAGGGCCAGAAGGTTTCTATGACTTTGAAAGTACATGTGGGACCACTACAGAGTTATGAAGAGATAGTATGTAATCAAAAGCCGAAGGTGTCAGGGTGCTAGAGACACCCACTTCCAAGGCTAGAAGCAGGGCTGTCATGGAGGTGGGGAATAAGGAGCATGTGGAATCTACAATGCAGTGGTTTACCCTAGTCATTCAAATGCACTGGATAAAAGTCCACCAAAACTCGGAAGTCTAGGAACTATTCTCTTTAATTAATTACTCTGGTGGGCCAATTGACCTATGAAAGTTATACCCCCAAAAGTCAGTTTACAAAGCCTAGAAAAGAGGCCACGATCATTTTACATGAGGAAGTCTAAATCCTTCATAGTCCTTCAAGTAATAGGAGATGCTTTTCAGCATTTATACCAAAAGCAACTGGTGCTGCTTTGACTTTTAATATAATGAAAAACTCATATTATTATGAAAGGTTTTAGGGATGGGGGAAAGTGCAAAGGGATCTGAGAGCGTAGAATTATCCTAAATTCTAATCTAAACCTTCATCAATATCGAAACACTGTTTTCTGGTAAATGTGCTTGGTAAGAGCTGTTTATTTTTCTTTTCCTTCCTTAGATACTCTTTCATGAGAATTTGGTTTCAACAGATGATTGAAGTGAGACAGACCTAGTGCCCTGTAGACTTGCTCTCAAAAAGATGATATATCCTCTATTTGTCCATTCCTTTTCATTCACACTGCCCCCACCAAGGTGAAAATCAGTTGTCGGTGGGGCCAGTTGCCTTTGCTATATTCTACAGCCACCAGTTAAATTCAGCTAGGCATATTGTAAATGTCTGTATGCTGACAGTGCCTGGGGTGGGTGGAGGAGGGTGGTGATGGTGGTGGTGGGGATGGATTAGTACAATGGGGAGGGAATAGATGTGTATTTACATGCAGAAGTCAGAACCTGCATTATTTTTACTTTAATATCTGAAGTTGATATTTACATGGTCTCCATATATTAATCTAGGGTTTTGGGTTCTCGTATCAGTTGATAACATGGACATTTAAAACTGCATACCACTTAAAACTGTATACCAAATATAGATCTTTGATTATTAAGTGAAAAGTCTAATGTTCAAATCTAACTGGCACTAGTCACACATGCCTTCATGGATTCTGAAAAAGTTTTTTCAAGAATTTGAACTGTGGAAAGGCCAAGAACTTTAGGGAGGCCCCTTATAAATAGTCCAGATCAGAAGACATGACTTCAATGGGCTTGCTCAACCTGCAGGAAGGAGGCTAGGCCTGGAAATGGGTGAGGTGGGCCTGACCCATCATGAGCTGCAGAATATTAGATTGGGCACATCAGAGATAAATTGTTTCCTCCCACTGATGGCAGTCCACCTGTAATATGAATTACAGACTATCTCTGACTTACAATGGTTTGACTTATGATTTTTCAACTTTACGATGGGTTCATCTGGATGCAACCCCATCACAAGTCAAGGAGCATCTTTGTATTCTTGACAGTGGAGCTGTCCAAGGCAGAGAATTCTTAGTATAGCGCATAGGCATTGGAATGACGAACAATTTGCATCAACTGGATCCAGAAACTCAGGCATATGGAAATAGTTTGTTTTGGAGGATCTTGGTGTTCTTTGGGTTTAAGAGAGGGAGAATGAATGGAGAGATTAGAAATGGGAAGGTACAGAATCATTGCTTGTATAATCAGAGAAAGATGGAAACTGGAACATCTTCTGAGGGGATCATTAAATTCAACCTAACGTTTAAAGGAGTCAATTCTTGGCAGAGGAAATTTGAGACTAGGTGCTTTTTAAAAAAGTCTCTTATTCCTCATTTGACTCTGAAATATAAAAGGAAATTAGTAATAGAAACTCTCCTTTATAAGGAAATTGCTTTTTTTTTTTAAAAAAAAAAAAAGACGAGCGAGACTGAGTCTCAGTGCAATAAAAATTATTTTCTAAAGGCAGTTTCCACTCTGGTTCACCATTGGGTTCTTCCCTACTTGCTCATCTCTCTGGGTTTACTCCCACTTACAAGACCACTCCATCTCACTTTCTCTACTTCTGCTACCCTCCTTCTACCTGCTGCTTCTGCCTGCTTAGCATCCATGTCCTTTCTTCTGATGGATGCATGTTGATTTCCCTCTGGGGTTCTCTTCACCTCCAGTTTGAGTTCATGTGGTTTCAGTGGGGTTGATGAGGGTGGGTATGCTACTAGACTCAACCAAACCTGGACTATTAGAAAGAGAAGTGGTTGGCCTGTTGGGGTTCTTAAACTGATAGAATGTGAGCCTGCAGTTGCTGCCGGCCATCTTTGGCATCCCTTGGAAACAGCTAGCTTTCCAACCTAGTGGAGAGCACGAGAGACTGAGGAGAGAGAGACCTGTTGATATCATTTGAGCCTAACCTGAAGCTGGCTTCACCCCTTAGAAGACATCATAACTTCCCTTTTCTGCCCCGTTAGAGTTGGGTTTCTTACACTTGCAAGTGAGAAGTTCTGATGGATTCAGCATCTTTCACATTAGTTTCAGAAGATGCTCCTAATTCCATTCCTCATCTCCCCTAGGACCTTGCTGTTTCTTTTGTATTTTCTGCTTCCTCTTTCTTGATTCCTTCTTTTCACTATGAAGCATCATTAAATCTCTTCCCATCATAAAAAAAAAGGCAAAAAACAAAATTAAAAAAAAAACCCTCTCTTGATCCTCTGCAACCATCTAGTTATTTGCCCCCTCTCTCCTTGAGTTCTTATTTCAAGTATTTTTTTGGGGTGTGTGAAAGACCCCACTATACTAATCAACTACATCCTCATTTCCCATTCTCTTCACAATCATTATAATTTGTCTTCCAATATTATCCCCTCTTGAAACTGTTTTCAGTAAGGTCAACAATGACTTGTTATGGGCCAATATACAGGACAACTGTTAGTCCCAATCTGCCCTGACCTCCCTTCTCCCCTAGAGAGCCCAAAGGTGCTCACATATCTGGATTCACAAGGCAATGCATGTTATTGTAGCAGCCTTGCCAATGCACCACAATGTTTTAGTTTTGTTGTTTTTAGGTAGGACCCAGATTCCTTTGTCTTACTACCAAGAAAATTAAGGAGCATGAACACTAGGTGAAGATGAAGCAAAAGTTTAATAAGTGAAAGGAGCAAGCTCTCCACAGAGGAGCCGGGGCCTGAAAGGGTTGCCATTCTACAGTCGAATACAAGGGCTTTTATAAACAGGCTAGCAAGGCAAGACATTTCATTTATATAAGGTGTGAAAAAAATGGTTAGACTAGGCGTTTCATTTGCACAAGGCACAAATTCCTGACAGTTCCTCCCTGTCCTTTTAGTGCACATGTGGACTCCTAGCCTAAGTTACTCGGTTACTTAGTTTCCCTTACTGCGCATGTGTAGGGGGGCAGAATTCTCCATTGCGGATGTGCCAGGTCCTGTGTTACTCCTCTCGGGCATGTTTCAAGCAAGCCCCCTCCCCTCTCCCCTGTGCAAACTCCCTTATCTGGATATGTTCAAAAAAGGAAAGGAACGTGCTCACTGAAGCCTACAGTGTGTATGTGGCCCTTGCTAATTACACAGAAGGCATCTTCATGGTGGACCTTTCCTCCTTGTCTATGCTTGCAGCCTGATCTTTCAGGCTGTTCCTTTGTTAGACAAAGGAATTCAATGGAGGACTTATCCTAGCTATCTGCCTAACGGGTTCCCTCCTCTCTTTTCCCTCATTATGGCATTTATAATCAGTCTTAAGATGCAATCCTTGAGGGGTGGGGAGTTGGGGAGAGACAGCATGGGGAGAAATGCCAGATATAGGTGATGGGGAGGAAGGCAGCAAATCACACTGCCATGTGTGTACCTATGCAACAATCTTGCCTGTTCTTCACATGTACCCCAAAACCTAAAATGCAACAACAACAAAAAGATGAAATCCACATTTTCTCCTCTTTTCATGTTTTCTTTCTACTCTCCTTCCCCAAGATGACTCAAAGTCTATGCCGTGGTCTTTAGCAGTCAGCAGTAAGGTAGGTCTGCACTATACTTTTGCTTGCTGATTTTGCTTGAATCTGCATGGATGAAGATTCTAACCTTTGTGAAAGATGGGCCAGTGTGGTGATAACTCTATGTGTCATACTGACACTTTAGACATTGTTAAATGTACAGCATATGAGAAACTTGGGTTTCTATTAATTCAGCCTTGGATGTTCTAAGAATTTATACTCATTAAAGACAGTTTTGATGGCAATTGTTAAAGAAACACAGGCAGCTAAGAGATACTCTCCAGGTTTAGATTAAGAAATAGGTGGGGAGCAAATAATTCTTCTGGGCTTTTAACTTACTAAAGTAAGTTTAAAACTTCCTTGCTGGGGATTTAATCATATAAGCTGGCTTATCTTGTTCAAATATGGGCATTACCACTCTTATATTGATTCCTATGGTTTTAGTCCAGACTTATTTTCCAGATCTTCAGGGCCATATTTTTAGTGCCTGTTTATATTTCCTTATGGGTATCCTATAATCATCTCCATCCCATGTCATCATCACAACCCGCTTTCCTCCTGTGCACCACTATCTTGTACCTGCCAAGTGGGGGACCTGGGAATGATTCCGGATCCCTCTTTCTTTTTCTCTTATCCCTCACATCCAATTCCTCTTAAGCCTGTCTACTTCTTGTACGGTTACCAGTACATTAGTTATAAATCTTCCTGACTCTGGTGTTTGCCATCCTGCAATTCTTCACGTTAAGACTGAGTTATTTTTGAAAGGTTCAAGTTTAATTTTGTAACTCCCTGTGAGAAATTGTCCCCGTGGCCTCAGGACAAGGATAACACTCAAGTCCACTTTAACAGGACTGTTTATCTCCGCAGCACTTGATTCATTTTCTTGGAGTGTTTCCATGCCTTTTCTGTCTCAGGCTCTTCTTGCATGCTGTTCCACAGTAATCCCCTTTTCTTCTTCTACTCCGACCCCTTGTGACTTGGCTAATCAGAATGGGTTCTTGAGGACTCAGTTTAGAGGCCCCAGCACTCAGGAAAGTTCTCTCTTGACCACTGTCCCCAAGGTTGAATGGAACCACTCTGTGTTAATGATGATCATAGCACTTATCTATGGTAATATGCTTGCTTGCTTTTTTCCACAATAAGCTTCTTGACAGCAGAGACTTGTCTTGCCCATGTTAACGTATCAATATTCTTAAAAAGAAGTTTTCCAAATGTACAAAATAGTAACCCCCAAACAAAGTGAAAAACCAATCAAATATTAGTTTGGGTTCATCTTATAAGGTAGAGTAGGCCCAGAGAAAAATATAAGGACTCTAGCTGTGGCTGCTGAAATCAAGTCTTTGAATTAAAATAGAATTGGAAAGGTATCAAAAGCTAGTCATTAATTCTACAAATAAATGTGTTCAAATGGTAACTGGTATCATACTGAAATATATTCAGTTATGCATCATTTCTAGAAAACTGTTTGACTTTTATAATTAGCAAAAAACTTT